GTCAGGCTACTTTAGCAATATGCCATGGCTGGAGTGGCTATAAACAGAAACATGCTTCTCACAGTTCTGGAGGCTGCAAGTTGGACATCCAGGTGTGGCCTATTCTGTGACTGGTGTCAGCTGTTTCCTGGTTTGCAGATGACCTGCAGCCAGGCTTAAGGGAGCGCTGGGGAGATATTCCTTTAATATGGGCACTAATTCCATAGTAAGGCTCCATCCTCATGACCTAATTGTTCAGCAGCCCTGCTTCCTCACACTGTCACTTGGGGCTGAAGATTTGTCTGTGAATCTGGAGGCAAAAGCAGTCATCCCACCTTTATCCTTGACCTTCAATGTGAGGATTGGGAGATGGAGATTCTTAAGGAGGTAAGTTAAAATGAGGTTATTGTGCGTGCTTTAATCCCATAGTACTGATATTCTTATAATAAAATCAGGACAAGACACAGACACAGGGAGAAGACACCAACCTTCAAGTCAGAGAGGTTTTGCCAGAAACTAGTCATCCTATGAACACCTCCATCAAGTCTTCTGAGATGAGCTGTTTTTTTTTTTTTTTTTTTACTAAATGATGCAAATAGTTCATGTGTTCCCATACTGACAGATAAAAACACATACATTTTCTAAGCACAAAGCTTATGGTCACAAATAGCTTTCTGCTTAAAGATGAAATTTCAATTAATAACCACAATAGGAATTTAGTTATTTAATACAATCACTAATCTAATGTGTCATCAATAAAATCTAAACAGTTTCATCACAAAACCAGGGCTATATTCAGCAAACATGCATTAATAATCTATATAACTTAACATTACCCCAGAAAAAGAATTGAATATAAAAATTCTTAAAATTTTTGGTGGTTTTCAAATTTCATGGCACAGATTACCAAAAAAAAATATAAAAACAATTTCAATAAAATGGTAAAAAATTGAGTAAGCCTTTAAGTTTTTATACTTGGCTCAATATTTAAAACATCAAGCTGGCCCCAATTTGTCAAAAGTGACAGATAAATATTTTCAACGACTAGACAGACTTTAGTTACAATGATACTGGAGGTCTACTTCCTCCTAGCAAAACCCTTTGGAGTTAAATTTCTCAATGCAAGCAGGTCTTTGTAAATACTGTGACAATATAAACTTGGAGACATACTTAGACTGGACTCAGGACAAAAATGAAAAATAAGACATACGTCAATATTATTTCTGACTAGTCAGCGTAAAGCCTTGTGGCTCCCAAACTGTCAACACTGTCTCAATATAAAACTAAGAGTCAAATGACTACCCTACCGGCTGACATTTCTTCTACAGAATTATCTCTTGCTATGTATCAAAGTAAAGTTCAAGCTCCATTAACTTGCTTCTAATTAGCAGAGCACCAAATTTATAAACAGATATGGCAACTCAAAATGCCAAGCACACTCTTCAAACTTCCTTTCCCATTTTTATTCTATGTGTCACGTTATTCTTGAACCTGACGGGGCTACCAATAAGAAAAGAGTAAGGGGAAGCTTTGAACATATCTTGTACTTTTCATCAAGGCTAAAGTGCAAAATATCTCTGCATCTCTGGTATTTTAATAGGGAAAAGTTATCAAATACATAATGAAGATCAGTAAAAGCAACAGTAAAACTAATACAAAAGAACTCTTAAATATACAACTGAGGAATACACATCATTACCAATTTAACTTTTTGCACTTCAGTTAATCTGTAAATGAACCATATTC